AGAACAGAGGAAGATGGCGAAACATCATCTAGACAAGAATAATGTGAGGAGATGGTTGCGACCCTCAGACGTGAGGAATGCGACTCAGGGAGGAGGAGGAGGAGACATCAACAATGTGAATGCTGACACACCCACTTAAATACTCTCAGTTTTATAATACAGCGCTTGCTTAGTAACGCATTACCACTTCCCGAACGAAATAGCAAATACGACGTCCTACCAATTATTCCGCAAGCTATGATTTTGTCGAACTCGATCATTGTTAACACTGGGCGCATTATTGTTAACACCCATATTGGCCCGCCGCGGTACTTTCAGCTGGCACGGATAAAGAGAACTATGGCCCTCTCGCTGGCACGGACGTAGAGAACTGTGGCCCTCTTGCTGTTGCGGACCTATTATTTTCAACGTTTGTAAGAGTTCGACACCAACAACTATATGCTACAAATTATATACAGTATGTTTTCGCAAAGTTATAGCATTTTAATCTACCCAAGTGCTGGTAGGTCGAGAAAGATCTGCCTAGGCACTGTTGGAAATATCGTTGGGGGCGTATTTCGATCCGCCATCGCACCAGATGCGGGTTTATAATTTTACTTTTCGTAGCCAAGTTATTGATGGATTTTACTGCATTATCGCGGAAATTAACGGTGAACTTATGTAAAGCTATCATTTCCTTTAGAAATATTTTGGTACCTGTTTGCGGGATTCGAACACCGGAACAGTTGCATCGCTCGATTCGAAAGCACCCCTCGTCTTATCCTTTAGGCCACGTCGACTTTAATTTAATGCACTGCATCTTCGTTAATGAAATGAAAACAAATATTCTTTTCCGTACTACAGTTGGAATAGGAGAAGATTCCAACAAATAAAATTTTCTGTATATATACATATTTTTAATACATTTTACTGTTGCGAATTCTTGTTGTGAAACTCATTAACAAGATGGACGATTGGATAAACGAAAAAAAAAAGACACGTAAAAATACTCCTTGATCTTGTAATTACCCAATTAGTTCTAATTATAACTAAAAATGACATTTTATTATTTATGTTGTAACATAGATAATTTTTTTTTCTTTTTGAAGTTAAGATGGCTTCTGTGGACACAGCCCGAGGTATACAAGTAAACTTATTAAGAATCTCGGAGCGAGTTCGGACGGTGTCATTAAAAAATGACATTTTTTGTTTAACAACTCACAGGTTATTTTCGTTTGAAATTAAAAGTTCAAGATGAGACATTTCAGAATTCGTTCCGTTGTGGGTATTTAAATTTTCGTCATCAAAGTGACTTTGTGAATTGGCAGTTACGAAATATAATGGCGTTTTTTTTAAAGTTAACATTGCGATCATCGTAGACTCGATAGCTGAATGTTTGCATGAGCACCCAGGAACACAGGCATAGATAAGCATCACTGTCTCGAGTGACTATATCTAGAAAAATCCACTTAGAACAACATTCCGTGGGAACAAAATGTTCCAATAACACTAGGTATTGTTTCACAGAATGAGTAAAAAATATCTTTAGGATATCAACTATTATTCTTGTATGACAGAATAAACTTGTTACATGAACAAGGATTTTTCGTTTCAAATTTGGTTCTTTATTGAGTAAACCTATCCTCGGGCCGGATCAGATGAAACAAAAACACGGATTCAACGCAACACACGTAATTACTGCATTTTACTTCGTACCTTCTTAGTTCCGGAGCTAGATACTGTTTGTTGAACGTTTGTGACAAATATCGATCTTTCAATTTAATAAAACAAGTCCTCGTCGATTCCGAAGAGTTCGATTTACGAACTAACCCATAGACACATCCCACTGAGTTTCTCGCTGGATCTTCTGAGTGGGTCGCGATTTTTTTTTTAGGATTGAAGGATTACTGGTGGCCCGGAGGCCTTTCCAGTTTCACCAGGACAGGTGGGCGAGCAAAGGCTCAGCTAGGAGGGGTGGAATTTGCTAACAGCTGCCCGAGCGCCTCCGAAGGAGACCTAACAACTCAATAGCAGCTGCTTCGCGAATGAATCTACTACCGGATCGGAATCGCGACCCGCTGAGAAGATCCGGCAAGAAACTCAGCGAGCTGATTCATGGGTTAGGTTGCACGGCGAACTCTTTGTCGAGTTCGACGAGTACGGTTACCGGGGTCCCTAAGCCCGCTCCTAGTGTTAGAGCTGAAGGCATCTAATGGAAAGGTTATTGGATCTGATGGATCCGTAAGGACGTGTTTAGGGCGTCGACGGTGACTGGCTCCTGCATGATCAGGATTCGGGGAGTAGTCAGCGGCGGCAACGATAAGGCGATTATCATGACGCATAGCCTTATCGAAATACCGTTCCGACGCTGACTTCATGTATTTCTGGATAGATTCGAGGCCCAGGTCGTCGTGTTCCTCACGTTCCTCACGAACCACGGATGTCCGACGGCTAACCTGCAAAAGCGGGATTGTAGAGATTGGAGTGTGTGTGCGGGCCGCGTGAGCGAACACCACATTCGCATAAGTCATGACGGGCGGGTTGCGATTCCGATCCGGTAGTAGATTTAGCGAAACACTTCTTGTTAGGGCTAGTGTTAGCAATTCTCTCAGGTTGAGTCCGTGAGCTCACCTACCCGTCCGCGTGAAGTTGGAATAGCCCCTTAGGCTAAAAAAGATTAGGTAGAGAAAAAAAAGTATTTTAAGATAAATATTTAAGACAATGAACCCACCAAATAAAGGCAGCTCTAAACGGTCCAGTCAATGTTTGCACAAGAAAGGCTGCGGTACGCGAGGAATGGCGATTTCTTTTGAAGCGCACGACCACCTGGTCTGGTAACCACGACCACTCCGCCAAAAGCGCAAACGACTGTGATAATAGAAAAGGCCTACATCCAGCAATGGAGAGATACAGGCTGTGATATTGATGAGATTTATGTAAACTGTGTTAATTCTGTTTGATTATAAACACGGCTCACAATATTAACACAAATAATTAACGTCTTATGAAAATCAACGAACTTAAGCAAAATAATATTAACGAGGCACTATCTATTAATGTACAAGGTAAAGATAAAACAATATTGTAATTAATACACTAAGATATAATAATTAGTTGATGGTACAATATGTTAATTTCAACGATAAATATTTATTAGGAATTTACATTCAGAAATATCAGTTTGTTTTACTTCGTTATTATTAGGTAATTTGCTAGTGTTCGTTAAGGTTTTTCGATGTGGAAAAGACGAAGGCATCGCAATTTCAGTCTTAAAGGTTTTATTTTGTAAATTGATAGCCGAATGAAACTGAAAGAAATTAAATGAATTGTGTATGCGTGATCGGAGTTGTTAGCATTTTCTATAGAATATTCGTTTTTACGTGATAATATTTTATGAGACAGACAGGAGGTATTCATTATCCCATCGTCAGTACTTTTACCCCCCCCCATATAGAAATCATACGCACCTCTGACGATTCTTTTTTTTTATGATTGAAAGATTACTGGTGGCCCAGAGGCCTTTCCAGTTTCACCAGGACAGGTGGGCGAGCAAGGGCTCTGTCAGGAGGGGTGGGATTTGCTAACAACTGCCCGAGCGCCTCCGAAGAAGACCTAACAACTCAAGAGCAATTGCTTCGCGAATGAATCTACTACCGGATCGATTGACGAACCGTACTTACTCCCGAATGGCTATTCCTCGAATCAGAGATCGATTGACTGAAGATGACTGAGGTCCTGACTGAGGTCCAAATTACTCACCTATTAGACATATAGTTTAGTCTTAGATTAGTCTTAGGACAGCAAAGGGTTGAATTAAATCCGTTCAGTAATAACTATTATATGGACTGAGGAATTTTTCGAGATGATACCAGCATCTCGTTTTTACCATGGCACCGCCCGCCACCGGAGTAGAGTTCATCCATACTACCTGGAGCCACTGCGGTCATCCACAGTGCGTTTCCAGAGATCTTTTTTGCCACGTACCATCCGGCTATGGAATGAGCTCCCCTCCACGGTGTTTCCCGAGCGCTATGACATGTCCTTCTTCAAACGAGGCTTATGGAGAGTATTAAGCGGTAGGCAGCGGCTTGGNGTCCAAATTACTCACCTATTGGACATATAGTTTAGTCTTAGATTAGTCTTAGGACAGCAAAGGGTTGAATTAAATCCGTTCAGTAATAACTATTATATATTTCAAAATATCCAAGTCCACTGTTAACAGTTAAATAAATCAGAATAAATATCTAATAAGGAAAACTAAATTTGAGGTCTTATATTGAAATCCCACGCAAGGCTCCCACAAGAAAATGTATCTTAGAACGCCCACGCCAAAGAATGAATATCTTGTTATTTTAAATAACAAGAGTTTTCAAATCGTGAAGTATGATGAAAGAATAATACATAATGGAAGACGAATGTGGATAGATCAGGCTGAGAAAAATATAGATTTGTTCAGGAATTGTGTGTGTAACGGCTTATTTTGAATAAGGAATACACGTGTCTTTTCATACTTGAATAAACACAATGAAGAAGAAAAAATAAGAGGAAAATGTCCAATTATTATCAGTCCTGTAATTATTGAAGTACCAAATTGTTGAATAAATCTTTTAATGCAAAGCGCTAATGGTTTTCTGGACGACATGAATTCGTGTTTAGCATCATTCCGAGCTCTTAGGCTATAGGACATTCGTTCAAAATCACTAACGTCAGTTAGGGTGAACTAGTAACTCGATATTATGCGATATTAACTACTTAATTCTTTAATGGACGATGCCATTAAGCACTGAGCTTAGCCCGCGGCTGTTTTCGATATCAAATTGTAATGATATAATGTTGCGTATGCACCTTATTCTTGATAAGGGCGTAAAATTATCGTACTAAATTATTAGTGATACAAAAGTGACTTGTAAAAGTTAAAATGTCGAAAAAATTTGAAAATACTGACAAAATCGAAGCAAAAGCAATGACGCGTGATATTGGTACTAAACGACTAAATAATTTTGTTTTTTCTATCTTTGCAGAACCACACCGCGAATGATTCCGAGATCATACGACGTGAGAACTCCAATCAAATTAAAACTAATTAGTTCTAACAGTGTATTATGTGGTATAGTGTAGTGTTCAACTGTTAGTGTATAGTCGGCCATTTTGTAAACAATATGGCCGCCATTCGTTGTGTGTTCCGCGCGGAGTACGGACGTCTCGTCGCTCACGTTTTGCTGCTTCTCTCGCTCGCTGTTTACTCTTCTTATGGTAAGTTATTTTAAACTAATTTATGAAATAAGCAGCTTTGCCTCCATGGACCAGACTTTATCGTAAGATTTGGTCACTATTCACCACGTGAGCTTACGCATCTGTTGTTTTTTAAAATAACGACACAATACAGCTATTTTGTTAAAATCCTTTACAGAATATTTGCATAGATCTTCTTTGCGTATATGTACTATATTTCTATTATGTTAGTATAAACCGTCGGTTGATTCAAATAAATAAGAAGCGAGGAAACACAGACAGACAGAAAGCGATTTAGTTTTTTAATACGTATTACTAATAGGAGTGCTCTAAGGAATTGTTTGAGATAATATCGTCATCTCGTTTTTAACATGGCACCATACTACCTGGAGCCATCGCGTTCATTCGTAGTGCGTTTCCAGAGATCTTTTTTGCCACGTACCATCCAGCCTTGGAATGAGCTCCCCTCCACGGTGTTTCCCGAGCGCTATGACATGTCCGTCTTCAAACGAGGCTTGTGGAGAGTACTTAATTGCTGACGTCCATGAGCGACGGTAATCACTCACCATCAGGTAGGCCGTATGCTCGTCAGCCTATAGGTACAATAAAAAATAATAATAATTAGATTTGTCGTCTCACTAATATAGCAATATTTGGGTTCCACAAACCCTGTGGCTACCCTTCTGTTGTTGATGACCTATCAATAGACCATCTTGCAATGTTCTACTACCGACAATTTGGCTTTTTAAAATTAGTTTGAATTATGCCGATAGCTGTTGTATGTCAGGAGAGGCTGCCCTAGTGAAATCTGTTTGTCAGTCTTCGATGACTATAAATATGTGGGATGCCCTGTGAGTAAGTAAACTGCTTATGTGATTTTACTGGAGCCTTAAGAACATCGCTCCACGCGCCGCTCATAAAAGCAATTATAATTAATGAATCGTTTTCACAACGATATCATTATCGATTAATATCTGATACACAAACTCATGAAATACTGACCGATGTCAGGTACATTATGAAATTCCATCGGCGCGTTTCTGATGCCGGCCATAGTGATGTGCTTCTCGTGTCGCACATAAAGTTTTATCGATACATTCGTAACGGTATTTGTCATCGAATAAAAGTGATTGAACGAATACATGAATCGCGCTAACGATAATTACCATTGAATCTTGATTTTTTTAATTTTATTTTTATATCTTAGATGGGTGAACGAGCTCACAAACCACCTGGTGGTTTAGTGGTTACTGGAGCCCATAGACATCTACAACGTAAATGCGCCACCCACCTTGAGATATAAGTGGTCTCACAGTATAGTTACAACGACTGCCCCACCCTTCAAACCGAAACGCATTGCTGCTTCACGGCAGAAATAGGCAGGGTGGTGGTACCTACCCGTGCGGACTCACATGAGGTCCTACCACCAGTAATATTCTCTTGTCTCCTCGATCTTCTTACGAAGGCACCGGAATACCTAGTAGACTCCGGAAAAGACGAATCCGAAAGATACTAAGAATGAATTTATTTATAAGGGACCTAAAAGACTAAAACATACATTAACAAACAAAAGAAGGCAAAGTTAAGCAATCCAGATGCTTAGTAACAGAAATCGACATAGTTACTTTAGAGCGCCGCGTAGGGCACCGGTGACCTACAAGACAATAAACGTGTTAAAAAAAATTTCCTTACCTCTTCTGGTAGCCTCAAGGGGTTATTCTAGATTCGCCGAACTAGTAGGTGAACTCACGAGGCTCAAACGTGACGACGTTGCTAACACGAACCCTAGCAAGAGCCGTGATTCGCAGAATCTACCACCGGAACGTGTTAAAGAAAACCATCTTTAGCTTCAAAACGGTTTTTCTTATACAAGTTCAATCGCCTATCATTCAATTAAGAGATATAATGTAATCTGTAAATAGTATACCTAATAAATATTGTGTAAAATATTAATTTAAGTAGCGATAATAATGGTTTAAAACTTCTTTTTTTTTTTCGTATAAAAATTACAGATGACTGAATATTTTGTTAGGTAAATTTATTTTTAGTTTTAATTTTTTGTTTTAAATTTTTTCGTATTTATTTTACAGGAAAAGTTATTTTTATAATAACATCCATTAAATAGTGGAGAAATCAATAATAGATTACAGTTTCCGAAGCGAACAGAGGGCGGGTCGATAGTAGTCAATAAATTAAGAACAATTGAGATTTCAAAACATTTCCTTGAAAGGTCACCTCTACGAGTTCTATACTCTATGTTCCAGTAATGAGTTTTAAATGAGGTACAAAAAGGAAAAATAAAAATACATTTAATATGATAATTATATCGCTTTTTCTAATGTGGAAAGTGATTAGGGATTAATTCAATAGTCCTCTACCGTACTACCTGGGCCGGTGGACTCTGTCCTTTAATTTTGTGTATTTATACGCTTGTGACGCTGCTTCTCTGGGATCCAATAAACCCTTGAAAGCTCAGTCATATCGAGGATAGGATCTTGAGGACCCTAACCCATAGACAGAGCCCACTGAGTTTCCCGCCGGATCTTCTCAGTAGGTCACGTTTCCGATCCGGTGGTAGATTCTGCGAAGCACTGCTCTACCTAGGGTCAGTCTTAGCATCACCCTCGGTTTGAGCCCCGTGAGCTCACATACACGTCAAGGCGAAGCTGAAATAGCCTCTCAAGGCTATCAGCATAGGTAGAAAAAAAAAGTCAAATTCAAGTAAATATTGTTGAGGCGTCACACTTGATGCCAACAAAATTCATTAAAGTATGTGTTCATCTTTGTCGTTCCGAAGAGTCAGAAATGTAAAGCTCACGTTCGCTCCTTAAAAAAGCTTTTATGAAATCCTACTACTACAGCGGTTCGCTTCGGATGACTCGCCATATAACCGCACCGCAAATGGTGTAGCTAATTGCACATTTTTTCCTACCTAACCGGACCGATACGTTTGCCTACGTTTGCCGCTAGGGCCGCTGTTCCAACTGCATACAAATTTGAGTTAACTTTTACGCTATCGAGAACTTTAAAAAACTCGAACTAAGCAAACTGTTGACAGCGTTAAGTTTTTTTTTTCTGCCTAAGCTGATAGCCTTGAGAGGCTATTTCAGCGGAACCTTAACTAGTAGGTGAGCTCACGGGGCTCAAACCTGACGACGTTGCTAACACGAACCCTAGCAAGAGTCGTGCTTCGCAGAATCTACCACCGGATCGGAAACGCGACCCACTGAGAAGATCCGGCGAGAAACTCAGTGGGCTGTGTCTGAGGGTTAATTTACTCGTCGAGCCCTTCGTCGCAAGCGACGGGTTCGACGAGAACGGTGACCGGTGCTTGAGGTACCTAAAAGAACCGTTAGTGGATCGGGAGGATCCGAAATGACGTGTTTGGGGCGACGTCGACTGCTTTCCATTCTTTCCGCAGGATCGGCTGAAATAGGCAGGGTGTTGGTACCTACCCGTGCAGACTCACAAGAGGTCCTAGCACCAGTAAATACGCAAATAATATTTTTGCCGGTTTGATTTTTACTACACGATGTTATTTTCCTTCACCGTGGTAGTCAATCACTTGTCATTACAAATACGTATTTCATTAGAAAAATTGGTACCCGCCTGCGGGATTCCAACCCGTTGCATCTCTCAACACGAATGCATCGGACGTCTTATCCGTTAGGCGACGACTTTAGAAGATGAGGTTAATATAGATATTCTAGGCTACTTGGGCATGTATTGAACACTAATTTAGTTCATCACAACCACAGACCGACCGTGGTTATTCATACGATCGAACACACGTCACAGCGTGACCGCGCAATTGACTACAATGTCGGCTCTCAAACTTTTTCGTCCCCTCTCGGCTTGAACGGTAAGAACGAATTGTATGGAATCCCGGGCGAGAACGCGAGCAGCGAAGTTGTGTGAATTGTTTTATTTTATTAACATAGTGTTTATTGAGGTTTTATCGTGTAATAAAGTTAGCTTATTAAACGTTGCGTAGCCGTGAAAGTGTAGACGTGCAGAAAAATGTAACCATATCGCTGGATGTGGCTTCCGGTATTCTTTCCAAAAGCCTACCAAAAGATCAGTAAATTCCCACCATTTTACTAACGTTATTTCATTTAATTTCATCTCAATGGCTAATTAAGGTTTCATTTAGCTTATATTGCATTTTTATTTTATTTTAATATTACATACAATCGTAGGGTGTTACTGAATAAAATTACAATTGCAAAATCGGGCCCGTTCAAACTTTGAGAGCCACAGTCCGATTTTACTATTTGAGGTATGTGACAATCTACTCCTTTAGGCACGCGGGCCATTCCACATATGGAATTTAGTCTCCTCGTATAAGTCAGTCTATAAATGTATAAGTTTTATTGATATTATTTGTATTCAATGTAGGAAATGTAGGGATTCTATTGAGATCTTCGAATGTATCAAGGATGACTCTGGTTCTGGTGATTGTTTGACGCACCAGACGAAATATCCTATTTACCAGGGGCTTGTAACTTTCTTTTAAATGTTGCACCAAAGTTCGTACCCAAGTTGGACCTTAAATTTGACTTGGGTCGCGTCCGAAAAGATTTTCCTTTAACATATCTGAATACAGGATGTTAGAATCTCTTTGAAGCGTAATATGGTATATCAAAAAAGATTCGCGTTTCGGTCATCTTTTGAACAATTTGCCTTGTAATGAATTAAACAAGAACTAAAATCTAGTATTTATTCTTGATGCTGGACAGACCGGAATCTTGGCCCCACCAAATGTTATAGAGACACTGGAGTTATAAAAAAGATGTTTGATGTTTCATTTTTACATGATGGTATTTTCCATTTTGGAATTCGTCTGTGGTGAGCACGTGCCCAATGCGTATTTCTTAACCCTTTGCAGTTTTAAGATTAAACTATATGTCCAATACGTGTGAGCTCTGCACCTCAAAGGGTTAAAATAAATCGGTTCAAGTCGAACGTTTCGAAGTCGTCATGGCCTAACGGATAAGACGTCCAATGCATTCGTATCTAGC